TATATATATATATATATACGTAATTTCACCTTGAATCCTGATCTTTTGCTGAAAGCCTGTAAACTGATACCGTTTTGTTTTCCTTCTACGATGGCCTCTCGACCTCTGTTTCTCTGAAGTTTGGCTTCAAACTTCCCTATTGCAGGTGGTTAATCGATCGTCGTTGTTGCTGTGGTTCCGTAGACTTTTCTATCCGCTTGGGATGTAAATCTTACACGTTTTACCTAATGCTGGATATGGCGAACCTCTGTGCGTGAGCGCTTTATTCACAGTAGTCATATGGTAGCTACGGCCTAGTTATTAACTTTCAGTGCTTCTGAATATCGATGTTTTTGGCGTATTTCCCCCACCCCCACCCCCACCTTAGTATCCCGTGTCACTTTGCTACTGTAGGAACGTGCTTTTACTGGCAATAATACTAGCGACGAAGAATTCGAACGCCAATTGGAGGAAGCTGAAATTGCTCAGGAGGAAGAACGCGATCGTCGAAAACGATCTAGCAGACGCTCTCTAACTAATGTGGCTGCTTTGAGTGCACCCGGTTCAGAGAGCACGAGTATTGGCACCACAAAAAGTCATAGTCACCAAAAAACCACCGCTCGGTTTCCGCTGGTTGCTCGAAAAATCGACAAGGTTGGTGAGGAAGAAGGCTATGAAACTGATCATCAGGATTACTGTGAAGTTTGTCAGCAGGTAAGCATTGTGGAAGCCACCCCTCTGTTAATCTTTATCACCGATGTGGTTCCATGAACTTTACTTTCAAGATAGTGTTAGACAGAACCACTATGTGATTTTTGCATGCTTTTAGGCTGTTGATAGCGATCGTCAGTGACAGCAATGCATAACCATCCCCAATAATGAAAATATAGGGGGTTTGGACTCATGCAAGCACCCACACTAGTGTTAACTACCTACCGTTGGAAGTTAGAATAGACTTCGATCAGCCACAAGATTAGAGAAAACATGTTTGCAATAAAGTGGTATGCAGGAATTCATTCTTCATTGACCTGTAGGAACCTGAATTCGATGAAACCATCCGACCAGCGGCAATGTTATAGAGGGGCCTGATTAACTTAGCGATGAACCTCTGTTTCTCACTAAACATAAAGCATCTCAAGACAAGGGAGGTGGTATTTTTGTGGGCATGACGGTAACGCTTAAAGGGGAATCCATTTGTGTTCGCCATTAGCACTGGTTCACACCATGCAGAAGTTGTACTTAACTGGATGTCTTATCATAGTGCCACATGAAGTTTTTGTGCAATGTGACAACAAAATTGTTCGCAGTTTAGCAGACTGACCTCTTTTCCAAAAGGGCTTTTGAAGCTTCAGGAGTTCGTTGTAATTCCTCACTACTGGGAGCTTTTCAGTCCGGAAACCCAAATAACATTGAAATGTGTTGTTCCAATGTTTTGCCGTTTTTTTCTTACAGAGACAGAATTCACATCTTGTCAACTGCCGAGTTTCATAACGACAATAGTGACATGAGAGCGAGTAATTAACTGCCAGTCTATTCCCCTAACTACAACAGTAAGATTTGCTCAATTTTTGACTGATAGGAAGATGCCCGTGCAGTGTAAGTTGTTAGTCTCTGTAGCGTGACCTGTTATAAACCCCATCCGGTTGATGACGTCATCAACGACCAAATCTTTCACAAAACCGGATCATTTTATTAATTAATAGGATGTGGCTTCCAGTTTTCAATATTTCATTGAAGGATGTGTAGGCGACAAGAAGACAAAACCCGAGATTGACAAAAACGACGACCGTGTGCTGGAAGTTTCTCATGGAGAAATGAGTTGATGGTGAAACTGAAGTATGTCATCTCAACGGAGTGACGCGATGTCTTTGCGTGCGATTACCACTTTACCACTTTTTGGGGGACAACACTCGGATGTGAAGTGTAGCAATTGAGGTTCAAGTACACGATCAGGTACTAGAAATTCCATCAGACTGTTTTCGCTCGGTTATCCTGATTCAGCCGATACGAACTTCCCTTACAGTGACCATTCTGACCCTATTCTTTTCCGAGACCCACTACTGTGTGGGAAGTGTGGAGCACACACTGATAAGCATTGTTCTGACAGTGTAGATAAGTAGTACACCCTGGACACGTCTTCAAATTGAGCTTAATAAGTTTTCCTCCACTTAGTCGGTACAAAGCGCTCATACTGTGACTCCTGTTGGCTCCCAGTAATATTCTTCTTCCTGAAGCTTCTGGATAATGAGTTTTGAACACTGTTTTGCACAGCACCCCAGTATCAAATTTCGCGGGTCTATCACGTGCCATGTGCTTTAAGACAGTTGTGTAATCTACTTCACGGTGGACTTAGCGAACTATCACATACCCAAAAGCGGACGAAGTACAGCCTACACTCATTTTTCAATCAGATATGACCATATCCCGTTAGGAGCCGCTCACACAAATCAGATTTTCCCCCTCTTTGGTCCTCCTATTTTGCCCATTTTCTCACCGCAGACTTGCTTTGAAAAAATCGTCAGTGAACTTTCGATGTTCAACACATGTTGCCTTCGTTTGTGATGACTGCGTTTGTCGATAGCAATGATAATGTTTAGCCGTCCGCGAGTTAAAGGCATCTTGGGGTTGATTGTCAGTTCACCTGACGCCAGCACTCCCTATTAGTGCTCTGCCTCATTCTTTCTTTCGACGAAGGTAGTGGTATCGTATTAACCGATTATGTTCTACACTTGACGGTAATTACGAACTAGTTTCTGTTCCACTGTATCCAAGAACAGCTGTCCATACTTTGAGGTCTGTATTCCAATTGCCTTACTGTTTCTGGTTTTGATGTCACCTTGCCCATATGCTTTTCTATTATAGGGAGGGGAAATCATGCTTTGTGACACGTGCCCTAGAGCATATCACCTCGTGTGCTTGGACCCAGAACTCGAAGAAGCTCCAGAGGGAAGTTGGTCATGCCCTCACTGTGAAAAAGAAGGTATATCCATGGGTTCTCAGGTTGAAGGGAAGACCACTGGGACGAAAATGGCACCGGATAAAAGTGCAAAACAGGTTGCCGCAGCTTCTCCGGAGAAGGATGAACACCAGGAATTTTGTACGGAATGTCATGATGGAGGTGACTTGATTTGTTGTGAAAATTGTCCCGTCAGTTACCATTTGGGTTGTTTAATTCCCCCTCTGACTAACATACCTGAAGGAGTGTGGCTTTGTCCACGATGCGGTTGCAAGCCTTTGAAGGCTAGAGTCTCCAAAATTCTCACGTGGCGATGGTTTGAACCGCCGAAGGAAAGCGATGAATTGGACCATACACACCGTATCCATATGGTAACAACGAGCGAAGAACTTGCGACAAAACCTACCGATAGTGTAGACAATAAGACTACCGTTCCTCCGTCAGAGAATGGTTCGGTGGCTGGCAACACAGAAAATGGCGATGTGAAACCGTACGTGCTTTTTGGGACGTCCAACGGCGACGAACCAAATTCCAAGACATCCAACACAGACAGTGCACCACGGCAGGCAGTAGCACGGGTTTCAAGCGATATTCAAGGGATTCCATCCAACTCAGCACCACGGCCGGGCTACATTCGACGTCCCACGAGAGAGTTTTTCGTGAAGTACGTAGATTTGTCCTATTGGCACTGCGAGTGGCTTAGCGAACTGCAACTGGATGTTCACCATCCGATCATGTTGCGGAATTATTTCAAAAAATGTGACATGGAAGAGCCTCCTTTACCGGAAGATGGAAGCACTTACAGGTAACTAAACTCATTTAACTTATCGGATAGATCGAACCTCATCAACCGTACCTTATTTCTTGGAAGTGCTTTGTTAACGAGTGAATTTGTCTGGCCCAAGGCCATACTTATTCGAGATGGCTATCTGTTGCTATCCAGTTCATTTTCTCAGCATTCGTTTGTCAATTTCACTTCAGTTGCCCCCCATCCATGACATTCGAAAATTCTTCTGCCGTGCTCGTCACCGTGGAAAATAAATTATCTGAAATTGTAACCTTGCCCTCATCGCCTTAAAGTCAGTAGATTTGTATTCCACCATCAAAACTTTGTTTTGATTTAGCAGAAAATTTTCATAGGACAAAGCGAGACTGAGATTCTTCGGTTTCCCCATATCGTAGTAGGCCCTAGAAAAGAAACAGTGCTGATATCTTTTAATTTACCCCTCAACTGTTCATGTCAAATTTTAGACAGATAGAAATAGCCGTAAATGGGAAATCTGTGACACCCTAAGTGTGACTGCATCAGTCCAAATGGTTTAGTGTTTCTAACATTTGAATATTCGGCTACTCATTTTGAAACTTACATTACCTCGTTTTTTGCAGAGGCCGAGCTCGTGAGAAAGCTGCTGATCCGCACAATCTTGAGGAGCGATTCTACAAGTGGGGCGTGCGGCCCGAATGGCTACAAATTCAACGTATAATTGATCACCGGGCCGGCAGAGGTGGTCGTGAGTGGTTCTTGGTCAAATGGCGTGAATTGTCCTATGATGAATGTACTTGGGAAGAACCGGATGGTGAAGTACTGGATATGGACCGTGCGATTCAGGAGTATCGAACCATGCGTCAAGTGTTTCAGGGTAACTTGTGTACTTCTGTTGCACCGGATGGCACCCGAACATTGGTCAGTACTTCGAAGAAACACAAACCTGGTCGCCGTTCGGCCAAGGATATTCTCGGTGACAAACTCAGACCGGAATTGTTGCGTAAACTGCCTCCTGACCGCTGTCTGACTGATCTGAAGAAACAGTACATGACACAGCCGGATTATCTCGATGATACCGGTGGACAGTTACATGAATATCAGCTTGAAGGGGTGAACTGGCTGCGATTTTCTTATGGCAACAAAGTAGATACCATTCTGGCCGATGAGATGGGTCTTGGAAAGACAATCCAAACAATTTCTTTTCTCTATTCACTATACAAAGAAGGACATTCTCGTGGCCCATTCTTGGTTGCCGCTCCTTTGTCAACCATTATTAACTGGGAGCGTGAGTTTGAATTTTGGGCACCAGACTTGTATGTCGTCTCTTATGTGGGTGATAAAGATTCACGTACGGTGATCCGCCAACACGAGTTCTCCTTTGACGAGGGAGCTGTTCGGGGTGGCTCCAAGGCCATGCGTCTAAGAAGTGGCACAGCAGTTCGATTTCATGTCCTTTTGACAAGTTATGAACTAATCAGCATAGATCAAGCCCTTCTAGGTTCCATTGACTGGGAAGTGCTAGTGGTTGATGAAGCACATCGACTAAAAAACAACCAATCCAAATTCTTCCGAATTCTGGCGAGTTACAAAATCGCCTACAAACTCCTACTTACTGGCACACCGCTGCAGAATAATCTCGAAGAATTGTTTCATCTGCTCCATTTCATGACGCCTGAAAAGTTCCACGATATGCAAGGCTTTTTGGATGAGTTTGCTGATATTTCGAAAGAGGAACAGGTTAAGAAGTTGCATGATATGTTGGGTCAGCATCTCTTGCGTAGACTGAAAGCGGATGTGTTGCAAAACATGCCGTCCAAGGGCGAATTTATCGTTCGGGTGGAGCTCAGTCCCATGCAAAAGTACGTTTAAATGATAATTCGTTACGTGATACACCTTTTTTGTTTGACCAACCTGGAATGCAAGCATGTAGCTAGTTGGTGTGAACACTGACAGCCGTTCATTTCCGATATCCTGGGTTGTGATACCGGGAGTACTTTAGGCGCTGGACTATTTATGATTTTTGTAAGCTCTGGACACCCTGTAGTTTATCTCAGTTTCGTACACGTTATGTAGAGCCTTCGGATAATAGAAATGAGGTGACGAAACTATCTTGTCTACTCAGTACCAATACGTCCAACAACTGAGACTACTTTACAGAAATAACCAGCTCGTTATCTCGCTATCGTAAAAAGATCTCGTATGTTCTTGAACCGAGGAGGTTTCATTAAGGACTTGATGTATCCTTTGAGATATCCCGTCAATGTACAAATTGACGCGGTACAAAGAGTGGAACGCATAATTTGTGACCATTTGAATAAATCTTATATAAAAGGCTTCGTAGACCAGCACACACTGAAATAATTGACTTCAATAGGCTGCGCTACACCACGCATATACAGATTGTTAAAAACGTGCAAGATTTCTTTTCCGCTGCGTCTGATACTTTGAATGTCTGGATCTCTGTGCCATAGACTTGCTTGATGGTTAATTGACAAAATTGAACCAGTGCCTATGGTCACAAAATAACTTACGGAAGGTATTTTCAAAAATGGGTTCCTATTAAGGTTGGCAGCCACACGTTTGGATGTTGTCAGTACTTCTCGCCTTCTAGGATGGGGACCGCGAATCCCCACTGGCGCCTGGTTGGAGACGCTGCAAGGTACGGCTGCCGACCGATGTCAGTGGCGATGTCAGTTTCTATCCAGATTGCCTGAATGAGTGTTTGAAGGTGTAGGCACCTCGAAATGATTGTAGTAAGCTAGCACCAAGTCCCTTCCCCATTCACTTTTATACTTTTCTTCACAATAAGGCTTTCAAATAAATCATGGTTGTACGGCAGCGAAGCATCAGTGTTGAACCCATGTCCAATGCTGCTCGCCTTCTAGGATGGGGACCGCGAAATCCCCACTGCGCCTGGTTGGAGACGCTGCAAGGTACGGCTGCCGACCGATGTCAGTGGCGATGTCAGTTTCTATCCAGATTGCCTGAATGAGTGTTTGAAGGTGTAGGCACCTCGAAATGATTGTAGTAAGCTAGCACCAAGTCCCTTCCCCATTCACTTTTATACTTTTCTTCACAATAAGGCTTTCAAATAAATCATGGTTGTACGGCAGCGAAGCATCAGTGTTGAACCCATGTCATGCTGTCGATGGTGTTGATGATGCACTCAGGGATTTAGTACTGAACATCAACACCAATAGCAAAGCAAAGACTTTGATGTTAAATCTTTTACAAATGTTCTCGTTATTTGTGATTTCGCCAGTTATAGTGGTCTGTATTCCGGACTTATCGTAGACGACCTGTGTATACCTATGTACCTGTGTACAACTAATGTGCAGCTTTTCTGCAACGGTACATACCATAAAGGGTTAGGCAGCGTCGAAATGGGGAACCCGTTGGGACCGGTGACCGCAGACAATTGGAGCATCAACTTCAGGAGATGCTTGGGAAACCGGTACCATACACCCGACATATTGATATTTTGCTTACCATCTGCGACCGCAGCCAACTGGGATAACTTTATCCTATACTCAACAGTATTCACAGCCATTTCAGATTTACAGTAGAAACTGAAGAGGGGGATAGAATAGCTTTTCTTAACGTGCTTCTGATTAGGCAGCACGTTGGTTCGCTCGGTGAGATGGATCAAGTGGTTGGAGCGCGAATCTACTGACTGGAAGGGCCGTGTTCGAACCGTGCCACTTGACTTCCTCTGTCTAGGCTTGGGCAACCTGACAATATCCCATCCCTCGTGCTTCCTTTGGGTGGCATGGCAGCTAGGCACCGAAAGGGTGCTAAAGCTGAACAACAATTGTTATTTTTCTCGCGGCTTTTTGGGCCTCTTCCATTTTCTTAACCTTTTCTATCCAACAGGCTTTACGGTCGGCGAGCACATTAAGTTTGACGTGGCATTTGATAATTCATTCACCCGTAGCAGTGGACTCTTTCTATGTTATCGCCATGATGACACGCCTGACGCACTTTTTCGGTGTCTTACAGTGACTTCGATTTTGTTCGCCGAACTGAATGTGCATGGTCTGTTTTCGCTACACTGACTGATATGGTCACTCGCGAATCCTCTCACGTGACATGGACTTGTGAACCCCTTCAAATACGCCCGCACTGCTTAACCTGATATCGTAGTAGTAACTGTCAAACTGAGATAGAAAATGTCTGTGCACAAGACTTCTCATGCCCCTAACGTTGGTCCTTTGCGCTCTTATTAGTGAAAACGTTTTTTTTGTCGTAGTTCATAGTCATCAATACACAGATTAGTACACTACTGGAATTCCTTTGCCCCGTACGACACAAGCAACTCTCTTCCTTCCACTGACATCTTGTAACATCCCCTTGCAGACGTTTCTACAAGTTCATTCTGACGCGCAACTTTGAGGCACTCAGTTGTCGCAGTGGTGGATCAAATGTGTCCTTGATCAATATCATGATGGATCTGAAAAAGTGTTGCAACCATCCATATTTATTCCCGTCCGCCTCAGAGGAAGCTCCTCGTCTACCAAACGGAGCTTATGAGGGCAACGCACTGCGGAAGGCTTCGGGGAAACTCGAACTAATGAGCAAAATGCTACGTAATCTATATGATACAAAGCATCGTGTACTGATCTTTTCTCAGATGACCAAGGTGCTTGATTTGTTAGAAGATTTTCTGGAATCGGAAGGTTACAAATTTGAGCGAATTGATGGTGGAATCACTGGTCAGCAACGACAGGACGCTATCGACCGCTATAATGCCCCAGACTCCCCGTCGTTCGCCTTTCTGTTGTCCACACGCGCCGGAGGTTTGGGTATCAATCTAGCCACTGCGGACACTGTAATCATATACGATTCGGACTGGAATCCACACAACGATATCCAAGCTTTCTCCCGAGCCCATCGGATTGGACAGGCGAATAAGGTTAGTACGTTCTCAAACACCAGTGGGGGCCCGGTGTTTGTCAGTATCCATACTAACCTCCTTATGAAATGTTTTTCCTAATTGGGTGTTTTTCCGTACTTTTCTCGTAGACTGAAAAGTACTACTATTCAACGCAGTTTGGAATGACTGGGGCCTGGGCGCTGTCGATTGACACCTTTTTATTTGGAACCTAGTGTTGCGAAGACTTTTTCCAACTTAGGAAGTCCTGTTTTGTTTTTGAATCAGCGAATATCACTGACAAAACTTTTCGGATATTAACTAGGAAGCTTTCTTTTTTGATCCAAAATGGACGCTCCAACGTCTTTCGAAAACCGCTGTGGCATAGGCCTCGTGGCCGTAGCAGCGGGAGTATTCCTTAGCATTATTTTGTTCACAACTATTGAGGGAGTAAGTCTTGTGAGAAAATGGCTGGGTTAAACCCTGCGCGAGAATGCTCTGACATAATCTCCGCTTCACGGCAGGCGCCTGGTCACCTTTAGGGCTTCCAATAACCAACGGTGGTTTATCTGGTACTGCAGCAATATCTGACGATCAGGGGTGTTCCATCTAAATTTCTGCCTCCCGAAAGTACTCTACGTTAACTCCCGTGGACAGTTGTGTCTATGGTAGGCTCTCAGTTGAGTTGAGTAACACCGAAGGTGTCACGTACAGTGATTCTCTAAGAATCACGGGAATCCCGTCACAGAGACAGACTGGGTGTTTGGACATTTCATCCATACTCGGGGGGCGAGATGGTCCAAGTGGTTAGGGCGCGAATTTACTGACCGGAAGGTCCATGGTTCAAACCCAACCTCAGCCTCTCGACTTCTCCTGTATAGGCTTGGGCAACCTGGCAGTATCCCAGTCCTCGTGCTTCCTTCGGGTAGCATGGCAGCTAGGCACTGAAAGGGTGCTACAGCTGAGCAGTTTTCCATACCTTCAAGAAAACCCCTTCTTAGGTCTTACAAAGTGATGTTTTCGTTTTTTGTATTGTTGTGAGGACAATATGATGAGGATCCTTCGTCTCTGATCGATATTTTTTGGTCAACGATCACGTTAAACGGCCGTCATTAGTACTGTCAGTGCAACATGCTGTGATATCAGGATTTTTTCCTCGATGAACCGGAATGGGCCTGATGGCTATTCTAGCGCACCTTACGTGGACAAGCCACCCGGTGGATGTAGTTACTTGCCATACAGATTGAGACTACTTGCGCTGGAAAACAGGACGAAGCGGTTAATGAAAAGCCGATATTTATCATTTTCCGAATAGTTATCGTCTTTTTTTTCGTCGTCACTTTGCCACACTTCGTATCGTCTGATGGTTCCTATTCGATTTCACTCAGATGGTCCATCGTCAGTATCTCTCAATCACAGCCGTACAAAATTACCGGACATTTGGCATTTTGCTCCAGATGAAACGAGGCATTCCACCATACACAAAGTTGTTTTTCTGCTTCGGTGCAGAGAGCCTGCTATCCAGTCCTTACTATTCACCCCTCTCATGAACACACATTTTACTGTCTCCTTAATCTGTTTCCCTGAGAGGGAAGGGTACTACCATTCCACTGTCAGGAGTCGATTGAAGTGCGCGACGCTATATTTTGATACGTCTATCCTTTTTGTACGATGCTATTTGCGTGATCTTTCGGTTTTCTTAGGTGATGATCTATCGCTTCGTGACTCGAGGAACAGTAGAGGAACGTGTCACCCAGGTGGCGAAGAAGAAAATGATGCTTACCCACTTAGTCGTGCGTCCCGGACTTGGTGGCAAGGGATCGTGTCAGATGTCCAAAAAGGAATTAGATGACATTCTAAAATTCGGTACTGAAGATTTATTCAAAGAAGGCGAGGAGGAGAGTAAGTGAAGTGTGATGCATGTTTATGCTCTGCGTGCGGAGCAATGCTCAGTGATGTTTGGAAATCAATGCACCTACCTATTTATGTCCGTTTGTCTGTCTAGTTTTGTTCAAATTCTTTGGAGATGTGGGTATTTTGAATTGCCTCGTTTATTTCATTTCTACCGTGAAGGCTTTAAAATACGATTTTTATGGCTGTACAGCAGTGGAGTGCCATCGTTGAATACTTGCGTTTCTATCCTCCAGAATGTCGATATAAACTCTGTCTTACCCAACTCTGTTGTATGTGTTTACTCGGTCTGGGGTCGAGAGTTGTGCATACTTATGTACACCTCAATCCCCGTTATCATCATCGGCTCCTATAATTCGGAGCTTTCACCTTCAATGTGTATTCATCTGAATCCCCACTTCAGAAGGGAAGTCGAACAATTTGACATCCACTAACTGTTTGAACACTCACTTCGAGTATATGTCTGCCTCTTGCTCACTCCCAATCTTCGGTAACGAAGCCACATCAGTTATACCTTTCACATTCGCTTACTTCGGCTTCATCAAGGGCAAAGTGATCGACTTTGTTGCGTATGGTGTGATGAGATATTCGAATTCGAGATTATTTTCACGTGTCCACATACATTGATTGTATTTAGTTCATGCGGTTCTCACAGAGAATGTAGATAATAGGCTCACAGGCACGATGTTGGTTGTGGGTCGTGTTCTCATGCTGCTGTAGCTCATTCATCTCACTAGATTTGCAGCGAAACATTAATGCGTGACAGTAGTATTTTTATTACGAACTGGGCTTTTTGAGTTAAGGTCTCAGAGGAAACAAGTGAAACAAACGCACCGGGATAAAAAGACTGCGGATTCTCGGGATTGCCACAGTTTTGCCCTATGTACTTTGAAAAATTCACTTGTGCTTGACCTCACGTGGAGCCTTGTTTTTATCCAACCATTCCAGAAGAAGACGAACACTGCATCGTTTACGATGACGCTGCTATTCAACGTTTGTTGGACCGTAGCCAGCAGGGTCTCGAGGAGAAGGCCCTTGAAATGAATGACTATTTGACTTCATTTAAAGTCGCACATTATGAAAAGAAGGGTGTCAACGAAGAAGATGAGGATGAATCGGAGGAAGAGGACGAAAATCGTGAGGTACAGATCAACACCAGTTTGAAACACGATCCCAGCTATATGCCTGTTATACGTCTTCATCTCTCTACATTTCTTTCTCTTTCTTCAGGTGATCAAACAAGAGCTCGACCCAGCTGACCCGACCTATTGGGAGAAGCTTTTGCGGCATCATTTCGAACAAGCCCAAGAAGACCAGTCACGTGTTTTGGGCAAGGGCAAGCGTATTCGTAAACAGGTGAACTACTCGACCACACAGGAAGAAGAGGAGGAGTGGAATCAGGCAATGTCTGAACATGACAGCGACTCTTCTAACAAGGTTAGGACTCGTTCCTCCCAGCCGTCGGCGTAATTACCCTTAGAGTAGCCTGCTTGAAACTTTGTCGGCTTTCGCTCCCACAGGAGCTTTCTGAGATGTTCGAGCTCTGTCCCTATACGTTGGAACTCTTGCACATACATGTTCACATCTACGTTGTGCGGGTTTTTGTCAGTAGGTCCCGCACATTTCGACCGTTAATTTGTTGCAACCGTATTCTCACTATCTGAGTGATAGTGATAGTTGCCTATCTTAGTGATAGGCAACTTCTCTGTTCACGGTTTAGACTAGGGCCATCGTGCTCGCTGCGGTGACCTCGGGTGTTTCTTTTAGGGGGATGCCATTGCTTCCTAAGATGGTATGGTCGCAATTATGGATAATGTGGATATTCATTGTGGTAACTATATTTTGTTTAGCGGTTAGTTTCCCAGTAAGCCCTGAGAATTGCGGTGAAAACAAGTGAAGGTTCGATTTCCGGACGACTTTACTCTATTTCAAAACCTACCATGAGCTATTTTCGTCGCTCAACGAACGGACGAATCAGTGTTCGGTTTAGTTTAGTATTGGCTTTCTCTTTGATTTCTGGGAAACTCCACACTTGGGTTTTCAGAAAGTTTGGATCACTTATTGAAGCAGCACCTGAATGCCGCTTTCCTCCAGAATTATATTTCGTCATAGTTGGACAGTGCTATGTTTTTCTGGGATACTCAAGCTCTTTGTGCTTACTTTGTCCTTACAGGATGAAGACGACGAAGAATTTGACGAACGCACTGCAGCTGCCGGCGGTGAGCTACTGGCGATGGCGCGCAGAACAAGGCGTGAACGTGAGGGTCGTCTTCCACCTCTTCTATCACGCGTTAGCGGTCAAATTGAAGTTCTCGGTTTCAATGTTCGTCAGAGGCGTTCTTTCCTAAATGCGATCATGCGGTATGTGTTTATTCTCGTCATCGTGGGGATTGGTAATTCCATACTCTTGGCGACTACTCAGACACGGTGGCCGAATATCAGGTTTAACATCGTTCCCACAACACCTAACCTATCCATGCTATCCAATGACGAAGTTTGAAGTGAATTCGAATTTGTGTGATATCATGGCGACTTCGGTCGTAGTCACGGTGACGTAGATTCAAATAGCTGAGAATCCGGAGTCCGGCCGATGCTTACCAACAAAAGGGTGGAGGAGTTTGGACGTGTGAATCATCCAAGACGAACATTTGGAAGGCCGTGAACTTTAAAAGCCAGACTCCAAGTGCCTTATTTTGGTCGGAAGTGTCTGCCGGTAGATTGTTGAGGCTTTACAGTTGCCAGTTCATCGAACTGCTCGCACTGCTATTCATGTGGTCCATCGCAAAGTTGTTCTAATCTCTGCTTTCTCGTGGTATTTTAATTACTCTGAAAGGTAAAATCGGTTTTTTAGCACCATAACTGGGTTGACAGACAATTGACTGTCTATCTGATGGGATTGCTTAAACCCTGACTTCAAGCTACGGACGGATACCCAGCGTCCTACGTTTTTTAGAGGCACTGAGCATTCTGGTTGAGTAGCCTTCATTCCAGGGTTGTATGAAACGAACTACGGCCATCAGCTTCCGTTGAATTACGTTTCTTATCATCTTGTCTTGCGGCTCAGGCCCTCTTCCAAGGGCTCCTAGTGGATTCCTCAAACCAACTGAGTGTGGGCGACCGGAGAGCATTTCGGTCACTACAAATTCGACAGGATGGCTAGGAAAATAATTGCTCACTCACTTTGATGGCTGCACAGGTGGAAAAAAACTCTACAACATGAACCTCTCTTATTGGACGCCGGAATTCCCGAACCCCATGATTGCAATATTTTTTTAACCGCATGACGGACGTCAAATGTTTTTGCTTCAACATTCGCCAGCTGAAGCAAGTGCATATCTAAAGGCATTGGTTCCACATTCTGGTTAGTATGGACATCAATGCTTGCTTGTGGTGAAAACTCATCGGCGTGAGTCCTGTGATCTCTAAATGTCGCCAAACTCGAAGTCGCCTACCAATTGTCCCCTCGAGTTGATTCAGTGTTCATAGAGGTGGTGGAATCGCGTTGAGCCAGTGTGGCATAGCAGTGCTCTCTGAATGAACACCTGTCAGCCATAAAGTCAGCACTGTCGGATTTTCTGACTCTTTCGCAGGGAGCAGAACTCATGTATAGGATAGGTGTCTTTTCGCCAGTTCAGCGTACGCAACGAATGATGATTTGGTGAAGGACGACTTGTACACCCAAATTCAAACACTTCTACAACTGGAGCCTTCTTCAGATGCCGCCGCATTTTCTGAAGGTTTGAATACACTCGTGACCATGGATACGACGCCGATCAATCCCTGAAGGTGTGCGCAGACCACCAATAACTTGTAGGTACCTGGTATACGGCAGTGGAAGCATCAGTGCCAACACTGATATGATGATGATGACCTGGTAGCCTGTTGCACATCCTTTGGGGGTCTCAGATCGGCCGCGTCATTAGTCGTTATTATGGTTCTCTGTGGAAACACGTTCAGATGCAGACCACGCACCGGAATTTTTTCACTGTGCTTCTCCAGGAAATCCGGAATTGGAGCCGTTACCGGGCATGCCATTTAAGTTATGTGCAGCTACGATGTTCAAAACCCACATTTAGCTATACTGGTTTCGTTCAATACGTAGTGAATTTGACAACTGAACCTTCCGCACAAAGAGATGACTCCACAGCTTGTGCGTTATACGACAGATCACGAAACATACCATGATGCTGCCGTCAGTATATTTTTTTGAGTCATTACTACGAATACTTCCCAGTGTTGTGACTCCATCATACGATGAAAGCTCAGTCGTGTGGTTGTTAATCCAGCCAAGTAACTCAGTTTCTTAGATGTTTTTGTCTTCGAGGGTGAAATGATGGTCGTTTTGTTTCGCAATTCCTTCCCCGTATGCCTTCTCCATAAACCCCACCTTCAGACCAGTTATCAGGTGAGCTGTGTCCTCAAGGCTAATGCTAATCCAAAGTGGGAAAACAAATGCTGACAGCCTACATTAGTCTAGTCCAGCTGTGAACATAGACTGCAGTTCACCGGTATATACAGGAGAATGCAAAATATCAACAAGCAAGGTTTTTCCTCGGTGGAACATATATCACTGATAAGGTTGCCCAAAACTTCGACAAAAGATTTCTTAAAAACTAAATATTTGACTTGTTGAGTTCGATATTACGCATAATTGATGATTATATATATA